CCCAAATAGCAGACCGGTTCATTTGTTTGTTTTTAGGTGAGGCATAATTCAGCTAGGAAAACCTTTTTCCAGCTTATCTCCTCACAGAGTCTGAGGCTAATGGCACAGGTAAAAGATATTTTAAGAAAACCTGGTTACACTGTTTGACCACCTGTGTGCTCATAGTTGTCACTTTTACCTCCTAAAAAAATCCTTCCAAGCAAAGTAGGTCTCTGGCGAGGCTGTCCTGCTCACCCCCCGGTGGTAGGTGGTCTCCTAAGGTGGCTTCCATCAACTCTCCTGTAGGAGAACACCATGCCTTCCATTAAGAGGTAGAATCTAGCCCTGACTGGTGTAGCTCAGTGGATTGAGAACCAAAGGGTCATGGTTCGATTCCCAGTCAGGGCATATGCCTCAGTTGCAGGCCCAGTCCCCAGTGGGGGCCGTGTGAGAGGCAAACACACAATGATGTTTCTGCCCCTCTCTTTCTCCTTCCCTTCTCCTCTCTCTAAAAATAAAAAAAAGAAATAAAATATTAAAAAGAGGTACAATCTAGGTCACCTTGCCTTTCGTTGGGGCTGGACTTGTGAATGACTTTGCCAGGAATTCTGTCTTGACTCTTGTCCAATTCTGGTCCAGTTCTGAAACAGCAACTTCTTACTCACATTTCATTCAGTTCAAATTTTTAGCTCCTTGAAGTGTGTGGCTTTCACTGGGATTGAGGAAATGTATTTTATAAGTCTCCTCTGGCATGTTTAGCTTTATTTTTTGTAGGTAGGTTGTTTCTGGTGCACTCTGTGTGGGAAGCGCTGATAGTTTGTGTTCAGGGGCCACTCTGTGGTTTGGAAACCCTTAGACATATTTTCCTATAAATGGGACTTTCAGGTGTTGTCTCTGCCTGAAATTCTAGTGTTGAATTCTAGTGTCACAAGTGCAAAGGCCCTCATCACATACATGCAGATACATACTATGTACCTATACGTAGTATGAGCTTTTTGCTTGGGAAAATGAATTGGTCTAACCCAGATTGCTTATGAATAATCTGCAGAGAGAACAGGCTATGGGAAAATTTGTCGGGCTCAATATCTGTTGAAAAATTGGTTTCTTTAAAAGAAAAAAAATGGAAGCTATTTGCAGATTTCAATTTATGTATGAAAATGGAAAACGCACTATGTAATTTGTTAATGGAAACCCGGTTCCTGCCTGAAGAGATCTGTGGAGCAGACCCGACTCCGCGGCGCAGAGACGGTCTTCCGGGGAGAGGCTGCGGTGTCGCCTCTGCCTGGCGACACGACCTGGCAATTAAATCGGCTGCCGACACAGACGACGCACGGGGCTCGAGTAGCATTTGAATTCCTTGTTGATTCTCTGTTGTTTTTGATCATCCTTTCCCCCCTTTTTTATGATTAATTAAAATTTTACTATAATTCCACTTAGATGTTGAACATATTACATTTTTAGTTTGAGAATTTTTCAGCAAGGATTGTTTTTTTTCCCATTCGCATTTCCCCCCAGTTATGTCTAGCTTATCTTCTAAATCATGAAAACAAATGCCAGCTCTTACCAGGCACACAGCAAAAATAGAAGGATCGATATTACTTGGCACCCACTGGGCTGAAGACCTGAAGTGGGAGGCTGCGGATCCAAGGCAGGCCCAGGAAGCCCGGCAATTTGTATACCGAGTGCACACCCAGACAGCCACGGCTCTGACGCAGACAGGTAGGCTGTGTGTGTACTGAATCAAACACAGGAGAACACAGTCTGTGCAAAAATTAAACAGCATCTCATCCTTTCTTCCACTGTGATTTCTGAACATCACAGCGCCTCTGCAACAAAAGTACATCTAAGCACGTACTTCAATCATGAGCAGTCTGGTTTTCCTGTCTGGTTCTGAAGATAAAATGACGATCTATATATAATAAGCAGATGCATAATGTTTCAATGATATGGGCACATATGTAGCATATATCTCCATTAAATCCATCATACACACTTTTGCACAGGAATAAACAGAGGGAGAGAATAAAGAACAAATGTTTTTATTGTCAGTTTCAGCAGAAGTGGCATTTTCCTTCAAAGCACATAAGTCATTTCACTAGCATCATATAGACCAGCATATGGTAAGAGTAGACAGCTGCTACTAAGTTCTAAAAATCTCACTAGAAAATCATACAAAAATAGACGCTAAACAAAAGGGACAAAATGAGCAAGTTTGGGACAGTGACCCAGACAATTCACAATTGATTTTAAATTATTTTGATTGGTTTATAAAGATCATCAATTCATACCTCAAGACATTTGTTATCAATATTATAACCATTACATTAGACTTTTAAACAAGGTAAAACAGTAGGAGTGAGGAGGGCCAGTCCACAGTGTACTTGGGGAGATGAGGGGCGTGTGTATGTGTGCGTGTGTGTGTGTGTGTGTGTGTGTGAGAGAGAAGAATTATTGTTTGGTGTTTTCTGCACATACATTTGTTAAGGTAAAAGAGGCTTGGGAGAGGCATTAATAACTTTGTTGAAAACTTGCCCTAGAGGAGAAGTTATATTTGAAGATGAATCCTTAAGATGTTCTCACACTTGCCAAGCAGTGGTAGGAAGAGAGAGCAACAATCCAGGAATGTTGATACGTACATCAATTCTACAGGGGTAGAGAGATGATCAATTATTTTCTGATGCTGTTTGAACTAGGAAGAAATATTCTAGAAGTAAAGGGACTGCATAAAAATAGATTTCGGGAACATCTGTAGCCATTTTTCCTAAGCCAGCAATGATAGCAACACTGGTGAATTACTAACCCTTTTATCATTAGGGGTCATTTTCTTTGAAATTCCATTATTATCACTGTTACAGATGGTTCCTCCTCCATCAGTAAACTTTAGGGTTCCCCCTTTCCCTCTTCCTAATACACACACACATAGCCCTGAAAAACCGCCCTTGGTTTACACAGCATTTCCCATTGAAAACATTGGGACCATAGAATTATGGTCCAATATAAAAAATTAATTGCATAAAGTTCTGTGGCTTTTTCTTTTTACCTTTATGGACAACTATAGAGGAGTAAAACTTCTCTTGCTTTAACGGATTTTCCAAACCTTTGAACCAAAATGATATAAGAAATTGTCTACCCCACCCTCTCTGACAAATTTTATCCATAAGAAAGCTGAAGCTCCAAAACCTGAAAATCCAAATCTAACAGTGATTCTACCAGCTTAAATCCTTTTCACAGCTTATTCTCTACAGAATGAAGCGTGAACTCTTCACTGGCAGGGACAAAGCTCTCCCTGGGTTTTCACTGCCATCACCCACCCCATTTCCCTACTACAAGTTTATTAAGCAGCTCAGATCTGCTGAGAGGTCCCACTGGACACACGGACTGTGGTCTTGAGGCCTTTGCTCAAGGTACTGCCTTTTCTGGGGGTACCCTGTTCACCCTCAGCTCTTCTGTCTCAGTGTTAATGCCACATTCTAAACCCAAGATATGATATGATACCTTTGTAGAAGTACTTCAGATTCTCTCTTTGGTGTAGGGACCTGTCTGACCTCATAAGACCGTGGATATCTTGATCACACTTGCTAGGCCATTGCAATGACCTGTTGACAGGATCCTCTTTCTTTAATCTCTAAGCACTTTGACAACAGGGATTGTGTTTTCTGACCATTGCATTCCCGGCAAGTGTCTGGAGCAAAGTAGTTTCTCAATAAATTTATGGAGTGTCTATGGTTATTGCCAAAATAACCTTTCCCCCCACTCTATTCTCATGTATATCTTAAGCATGGGTTTATTGGATTCATTGAATGATTGACATTTACTTTAAAAATTAAATATATAAAGAGTGCAGTTTTGAGTGCACTTTCATATATATCCTTTTAGGCACATATTTTCAGAAGGAGATTAGTCTTCCTCTGTATAACAAAGCTAATGCTATCATGTACCCACAGCTAGGCCATGGAAAATAAATGAAGTAATCCTTGTTAATCATTCAGCAAAGTTCTTGTCACCTGGCAACACTAAATTATTGTTATTACAAGTATTTTTACAAATGCATAGTGTTAGGCTTTCTCCTACATATTCCTGCCATTATATTTGACCCTGATTTAAAACTTCAATCTTGAAATTGTTTTTCACTTTCTCCTGAAGAAAGTTATTTTCAGGATTTAGGGGTGAAATATGCCTAAAGGTGAGCAATAAAACAGTGTCCAAAATTTTTTAAATACACAAAACTGTATATACTTTAGATATTCAAACTAGGGAAGAAAATGTCAAGGGAAATTTTGATCAATGTTTTAAAGCATCTGAGATCTTTTATATAAAAATATGACTCATCTTATATACTAAACACATGAGTAAAAGGAGTAAATGGGAATAACAGAGAGAATCTGGGTAATCACCAGTTAAGATGGGTTTATAAAGAATTCCTGCAAGTATGGACCCCTATTCTTCTGTGAAATACTAAGGAATAATTTTAAAAATTCAGTTTTATCATGTGTAGAAATTTTTTCTATGAAATATTAAAGATTTTAACTTTAAAAAAGCCTTGACTATTTTCTGTATAAATCCTAAAAAAAAAACTTTAGTATAATAAAATCTAAACTATTTTTCTGGAATCTATAGGTAAAAAATAAAAGCATAATCTACAACTAATTATATTTAACTATAACTCAAAATACTAAAATCGCTGTTTGCATTGATAAATATGTCATGTACTATATTTTATTAACAAAAAAAATGGATTAAGGTCCATGGTGGGAGAGTAGAAATTAGAAGAAGAAGTGTTATTTGTTCTCCGAGAACATATATCATTTTGAACTTCCCTTCTGGCTTTCTGGCAACTTCCAATTTTAAATTCCATCCAGAGGCGTAGCCTACATAACATAAAACTCAGATGGCAGTGTGTGAGTCTTTCTATTTGCTTTGGCAGACCTCTCATCTCTGTTAACAAGACTTGGGTAACAGATAAAAACCAATAAAATTATAGTTGGTTACAAAAGACTGCATTCCTAGTTTATTCGGGGTTTTATATTCCACCTCCTAGGAAACAAAAATTCCACAGATTTTATGCCCTGTGGGGTGGGCCAGTTCAGTCACTTGGACAAATGAAGGAAGAGGATTTACACGTTGTTCTTGGTGAGTTTCCCAGGTGTTTATTTTCTTCAAAAAATATGAACATAGCTAGTTTAGATTTTCTAGGGAAATCCACATATTCTCAGGGTGGCATCTCAGTTTATCCATCTAAGATCTCTGTGTTATTTGGTTTCGGTGCCTTCACAAAGCAATCTTTTAGGTCATTCTCCAACCATCAGTATTTAAGCCAATGGTTTATACATATTTCCATGTGTACTCACGGACTTTTTAAATTTTTATTTTAGGATTCTCTAAGGAGTAATTACATGTAAATCTTTTATTCAAGCTGAACAAGCAATATCAAAATGCAAGTAAAAGTGATGTTACATAGAAAGTCTTGAATCTGTTCCTGTTTTTATTCAGTAAATCATTTTCAACTGTCTACTCTTTAACTATGACTGTTAACAAATTGCAACATACTCAGCATCTGATTGCATCATCTGGATGTCTTCACTGAGACAGAGAACCACCCTTTTAAAATGAAATGAAGTTTGACCTGCCCATCTATGATGTACCAATTTGCAAATACTCATACTGAGCTTTTTAATATTCTCATAATTAGTCAATGTGCTTTTACCCACTTGAAGCCTCTCAAAACCCTGAAGCTGATGTGTCCATCTGAACGCAGTGGCGTTCATCTCTATACTCGTGGTGTATGTTGTTATCGTTGAACCTACTATAAATCTCATGGCCTAGGACATGCAGCCTGCAGTGTCACCATGACCTTGTCAGTGTTAGAGTTCCAGCGCTGGTTCACTGCCTAGCACACTGGTATTGCATTAATTTGGAAGAATTTATATAACACTAATGTGAAAAAGTATCCCAACTGCCCACTTTTAAAAACACAATCTTTATGTTCTTGAATAAGAAAGGCAGTCGATAGATTATGATTTGATGTGTGTGGAGACTTCGGAGTGTGTGAAGAAAGGGGGGAAAATTCTACATTGGTACCAGGACAAGACAGGCACAAAGCAACTCTGTAGAGAAGGATGACAAGGCATCTCTGGAAACTCACTTGAAATAGAGTCTTGATTATCAACAGAAAGGGTAGAGCTTAAGTTGAAAAAAATGTTTTCATAAAAAATTTTGTGACATTCGAAGTGAGCACAATAAAGGCTGCTTTGGAGAACAAATGAGAAAGTGCAGCTGAAAACGAGAAATGGAAGAGGACTTCTCCCCACGGACACCGGACAGCATTTCACTGGTAGCACTTGAATTGAGGTCAAGAGGCGGCTTTCCTCCAATCTGAGAGTCTCTTTCTTTTAATATTTAAGTTCATCCTATTTACCTTTACTGGTGTGCTAGATATGTTTGTTCTCAGTTCTTATGTGATTAGTTGTTCACCTGTTTTCTAAATGATCTATTTTTTATTTATGATATCTGCATTTTGTTTTGGTTGTATTTCCCAATCAATGGCTTGGAGGGTACATACTTGATTTTAAGATCCTTAGAGTTGATGTTTATAATTTTTAACAATGAACTTAATGCTCTTCTTTTTTTTTTCAGTTTTATAGAGTGTATATTGACTGTACCCTTTAAGCAATGAATAAACTGGAACATTCACACTTTTCCACACTTTCTTTCTTCACTCCATCTTCTGATGTTGGTTATGTTATTTATTTAAAATTTTCTTACAGATATCTTTATATTGTGAACTAATGTATTTAAACATGCATTATTTGATTTGTCTGTGTCAAGCAATAATAATCAACTCCCAATATGAAAAATTAGAAAGTCTAATTAAACTTATTTCCACCATTCTGAACCTTCAAAAGTTTGCTAATTATGTCTCTATACATTTTCAAAACTTTGAACAGTTACATTCTGATCTAAAACCATAATCCTTACACTTGTTATTGTTAATACTGGTTATGAACAGATTATTTACCACCAGCCTTTCCACCATGTCCCCTTCAGATGAACCAGAGCTGAAGGATGCTTCCACAGATTGTCTTCACAATGAGACCCTGTCATTCTGATAAAGGAGTAGTGAGTCCATCAGAGGTATGCCCTACTTTTTGAAAACCATTCTATATCCAGTGGGTGAATTTTAGTTGCAAATAAGAAATTAAACTACTGGGACACACATTACCTTGTGTCATAAAGAATCAGCAGACAGGTGCTTGCAGGGTGTTTATTCAGTGGAACAAAGACATTACTAAGAGCTCATATTGTTTGCATTTTTTTCCGACTGCCAAGTTCGGCATGGAGAACAGTTCTGGAGACAATCATATAGTTCTAAGAGTCATGTGCAGATAATAATGTTCGGAGGCAGTAAAGGGGCTCACCAATCTGTGTTCCTCTTTAAGGTGAACAGAAGTCTCCCAGAAGCACATGATCATGTCCACTTTCTTGAGTTATGTAATTTCTCACTGTGAAACCAGCCACTGACAAAGACAAATTATGATGATGGGTCAAAATTAATCATAATTAACCTCTGAAGGTCATGGCAACTTCATATCTACACAACCCCAGGGTCTGTTGGCAAAGAATAAAGCCAGGAGCAGCAGCATAGGGAGGGAGTGGCTGGAAGAAATGGCTAGCAAGTAGACAACCAGTGGTTCTTCTATAACTAAGACATTGCCGGAATTCTACAGTCTTTGTCTGCCTTTGGCACTGTTCTCTTGGATTTGACATCTATTCTTATAATTGTGTGTCATGTTAGTATAACCATGTCTCAGCTCCCCTGAAGATAGAGTTTATTTCCTTTTTTTTTTTTTTTTGTCCTCTTTGTTCATTCTGGTGGGGTTTAGAGAAAATCATGAGAAGAAAACATTTCAATCTGCCATCTGTCAAACTAGAGGTCAATGTAATGGATATCTTTCCAGAGATAATTAACTAGAAAAGCTGTAAAGAGGAACCTTAGCAATACACTAGAAGGAAGAACATAAACAGAATTTTTCTTAAAAAATTAGGAATGCTTCTTTTATCTAAGATTGACCATTTCTCTGCTTAAATATTACAGAGACAAAAACTTTATTACTTCTACTACGAAGAGATAGAAGTGGGTCAAATAATTCCATGCATCTTTTTTCTTTTGATCAAATGCAACACTCAGAAAATTTAAGTATTCCTTACTCTGTTTTCTTTCAGTCTCCTCCAGAAAGCAGAAATCCTGGTTCAAGCAGTCCTGGGACTCAGACCTGGAATAATTTGTTTAGTGATGGGAGGGGACAAAGTGGGGTTTGGTCTCCACCCTATTGCTGGTCTCCTGTGGGGACACTTAGGGGGGTGATTTAGTAATAAGAGGACCTGTATTTACCCTTTTTATAACCTTTTCTGGGGCAGAGATTAAAGGATGACAATGAAATCTTCTCACAACCTTTCAATCCCATTAAACTTCACCCAGGGGAAATACCATAAGACCTTAAACAAAGGAACAAGTCCCTCCCTAAATAGATTAGAGGACATACATCAAGCAAGCAAGATCTCTAAACAAAGGAATCCTAAGCAGGGTTATTTCTTCTCCTTCAATGCAAGCAAAGCAGGTATTTTAAAAGGAAGGATGCAGTGACCCTTGGCCAACTTGCTTCAGAGAAATGGCTATAGTCTCAGTGCACTGCTTTAATAATAGTAATAAGGATAAATCACTACATGACTAAAGTCATATACCAAAAAGCATTTCCTGACATCTCATAGAGAAACACACTAGGAGGACACTGAGATCAGTAAACATTAGGAGCTGGGCTAGGAAGACCCATCATCCTTTGGACATTTTGTTAGCATAACTTAATTAGTACCCACAATCCTCTGAGGCTGAGGGATGTTCAGGTTGCATATACATGCCCAAGCAAAACAAAGGCCATAGCCCTCAAAATCGATTGATCTTCACCCCTTCTCCATAAATTTTTGCCAGGATGAACTTAAACTGATTAGGCACAGAACCCATTGTTGAGAGTGAGGCAGCAGCTTCGGGTGAAAGAAGGATTCTGGGAATTCCTTGGGTGGTAACACTCAGACTCCGAAGACTAAACCTGTTCAAGACGGCACAATCGGCAGAGGCCCAGGCATCCGGCACTTGACTGCTGTACAGTAGATGGGCCCGGTGACTAATTTCATCCAAAAGTAGAATCACAGGGAATCTCAGAACTGCTCTGATACTGTGCTCATGGTCCTGGAGTAAGAAGTAAAAGCCAGCCAAGTGGGAAATCTAAAAACTACAAAAAAAATTCGTCTTCATGGTAAATGCTTAGGGAATTAGATATATTCACTAATTAAATGACAAACATGGCCTGTGGAATATCACTTTGAAAAAAAAACTAAATTTAATGCTTAACATTATGGAAACAGTAAATTTTCTTTTATGCTTTTTTTTTTATTGTTATTCAGGAGGCGTTTTTTGATCTCAGATTTTTTGTGTGTGTTCCATCATTGCCATCTTATATCTCTGTAGGAGAAAAGCATAGCTTTTTGAACATTTTACGGGTGCTCTCTACACTAGAAAGGCCCTAAAGAGGAAACAGGACACGTTAACTACCATGATTTATTTATTTTGAGCCTCCTCCATCATTCCAATCCCTAAAGTCTAATCAACAGAAACTACCTGATTTTAACATCTGCCAACATACTTTTTACAGCTTTATTGTCCTTAAATGGAAACAAAGCTCACATTCTCTCTGAGGAGAAAAAGATGTGTGCTTTAAAATTTTTGAAGTATCTAGATAATTATCTCATAGTTCCCCTACAGATCTACATGTACAAAGCTAAAGCAACTACATCATAAGTTTAAGGGCTCAAAAAAGTAAAACACAAGGTTTTCTTGTTTCTATGGTATCCGTCTCCATGGTGCCTGGTTAAAGGACATGTGCGTGACCCAACAGGTCTGTTACCTCTGATTTATGTCGGTGCTGCTAATTACACCTTCTACCATGTACGTCAGATTCCTGGTGGAATCTTACATTTTAAAACAATTATTTCCTCATGCTGTTCTCCTTGGGAAACAGGGACATTATTCTCTCCACAATGTGCGATTATTTCTAAACCACCAATATAAAATGGCCCATCTCATTTCTCCTTCTGCCCATTTCTTCTTCCTCAGTCTAACCGAGTCTCTGAGAGTGACTGAAGACAGCATGTAGTAGTGACAGAAACACCGTTCCCTTTAAACAGCAGAGCCCATTCAAGAGTTTTTATTTTACCACTGGTTACTTCTTCTTTCAATTAAATCCAAAGCGCATCTTTCACTTTGGCTGTGCATATGCTTTTAAGCTATTGTTAGTCATATGTGTGAAAGTAAACATTGAGTGATGAAAATTCAATGAGATAGCACATTAACATAAAACAATTTAGTAGAATGAGTCAAAAGAAAATGATAGCCATAACAGTGCTGTTGCTATAGAAGATAGATAAATTAATTTGATCTAAAATTGGATTCAGGATGAATCCTGCATCTACTCTAGCATCATGGTAATGGGCCTGAAATGAATTAGCCCCCAAACACTTACTAGGCACCAGACACTGTTCTAAGACTTTGCATATGTTAACTCATCCAAGAATCTTAATATCAATCCCCAAAGGTAAGTTATTAGCCTCATTTTACCATAGGGGAAAAAAAATGAGGCTCATAGAGGTTAAGTGACTTGCCCAAAGCTACACAGCTAGTGCATGTTGGAGCCTGAACAGGAACTGAGACTGTCTGGCTCCAGAGCCTGTGGTTTCCACCACCAGCTACCTGCAAACTGTGATAATCATAAAGCAATTACAGGAGAGAAAAGAAGGTAAAAATGAGTCAGTCCCAGCAAATGGATCCAGTGTTGAAGTACTTTCCTCCCCATAGTTCCATTACTCCTCCCCGCGGCAACATTGATTCCTGGGCCCACCCATGGTTGCTATTTTGTTTTGTTTTTTTCTTACCATGGATTCTCTCCAATTTGATCTTGTTTCTTCTCGTGCTTAATTCTCCCCATCCCGACAATCTTCGCCTTAGAGAAATCAAATGATCTCAAAACATTGGCCTGAGAAAAGATGCAGTGAAGACACACTGAAGTTTGTCACGAGGAAAAGAAATTTTTGAAATTTCAGTTCTATTTGCAGGGAAATTTAGAGATTTTTATATTCTTTTTTAATCATCTGAAAGTTTTTAACACTGAAAGTTTTTAACACTTTCAGATGATAAAGAAGGCAGTGGATCAGCTAAGAAAGCACTTAGGATAGATGACCGTGAAACTCATTGTTCTAACTGGTTCACTTTGGGGAACCAAATTGCTGCTGTCAGCGATTATGCCGGGATGGCAGACAAGCAAGGGGACTGAGCTGGGCAAGCTGGGATATGCCGTGGAACTACCTCCAGACACGGAAGAGGCAGCAATGTATTTGAAGTGGGAGAGAGAAATGACATTTTGTCTTGATGGTAGAGTTTTTTTTTAATGTATGTTAAGTGTGCTTGCATTGGTTTGCAGATTTACTCATTCCCTAGGCTCATAATTTCCCATTTTATTTATTATTGATTATTATTAATCAATATTGATCATTATTAATCAATATTATTATTAATCTCCAACTTTATATTATGACTAGTATCAATTTATTGATTGAGAAATTGCTATAGAACTGGCACTGTAATGAGCACTTAATTTATATTGTCTCATTTAAGCCTCACAACAATGCCACAGGTAGGATTTATGATTACAATAGTTTTGGAAACAAAAATAAATTAAAGTGATTCAGCCAAGGTCACACAGCCTGTAAACTGAAGAGCCAAGGTTTGCATGCAGATGTGGGCACGGCCCATACTCTAGGCCACCATATTCTGTTCCTCTCAAAGCACTTGACCTTAAAATACTTGTTAACAAATAATATGTTGATTTTTCTCCAGCAAGAGCTGGTGGGGTGCAATCAGCTTTATAGAGAATATTGTGCAACCACTATCTCACAGATAATTCATTACTGTAGGAAAAATATAAAAATGTGGTGGCTATAATTAAAATATTAAAATATCGAGCAAAATCACAAGCACGTATTCAAACAAAAGAAGCAGGACCCATGGCATTATTCAGACACAACACGCACTGGCTGAGTGACTCGAAATTGATGGTCGCACAGCACAGAGATCACATGGCATCTGGTCACTTCTTCACATCAAACTCTTACATAACTTTAAGAATTGTATACATGTGCTTATGCAATACCTTACATTTATGTGGTGTTTCCTATGTATGAGGCACTGTTCTTACCTCTTTACTTATAGTAATTCAATTTTTCCGTCACAAGAATCCTGAAATAAAAACTATTATAAACCTAATTTTGCAGATGAGGAATAATGGACAGAGTTGTGAAGTTATGCAGCTGGGATTCAGCCTGGGATCCACTCAGGTCTGTGCTGGAGATCACGAAGCCACACCGATCTTCACAGCACTCTTCACAAGCTTGTTACTGGCATGTGCTGAGATAAGAAGTAAAAGAAACAGTCTTATGAAATATATTCTTGTTCCATCTTATTTGTTTTCCAGGATGCAAACACATATTTCTTAAATCTATGAAAAGTAAAAGTGATTACGTGTGTGTGAGGGGGATAGAGAAAAGTAGAGATCATCCCCATGATAAATTGGATAAAATCAGGAATGAGCATCTGAACTGATGTTTAAGCACAGGGAAGGTTAAAAAAATCATACGTATAAAGTATTCTCTCTGTTGCCATACCGTACGTGTGACATTGCCAACTGAGCTTTTAGACTGAGTTTTTACTTTGTTTTTCTTGTTTTTCGCTGTATTCCTCCTTGTGCGTATGAGACGAGCTTCAGTTGCCCAGATGCAAGTGTCTAGATGTCAGGTCCTCAGAGTGTGGGCTGAGACTCTGCAGCATCCACATCTCCGGGCGGAGGGAGAAACCCGGAGTCCCTGTCCCTGCCTGCCTCCACTGATTTGGAATCTGCTCTCCAACAAGATCCCTAGTGATTCTTATGCATATGAAAATTTGAGAAGCATTGGTCTACAAAAACATGCTGCAATCCTTCACTGATGAGAAATAGTCTTCTTTTTACATTTTTAGAGCTAATCAAATGGAGGGAAGGTCAAAGCCAGTCATCTCTCTGTGGGGAGGGGAGGCGGTGGGAGGCAGGAAAGGTGCTTGGATGATGAGAAATAAACAACTGCTCTGTTTCTTGCCTACTCCACCACCACCGTCTTATCAACCCCCAATCGCTACCCACGCGCTCTGCCAACTCACAGCGCGATTACACGGCCACATAGAATGATGAAGTCCATAATGTTTGAGTTCAGGACAGTGGCATATGGAGATACGATTTCAGAACAGAAGCCTACAAGGCAGTATTGGTAAAAGGAATTTTTTCTTAATCCAATTCAACTACAGTAAGGAATCTGTGAGCTAATTAACCAGCCCAAATCTCCCAAAGGGTTCAAAATGTAAAAGTAAAGTGAGATTGAAACTTATTGAGTATCTACTATGCACTTTCTATCCAAAGTATCACTAAGTCCTCAAAATAAATTGATGAAGTTTCTATCTCCACTTCACAGGCTGGGACACTGATGAACAGATAGGCAAATAAAATCGCCATCAATCACACAATAACTTGAGGCTGCTAGGTTTCAACTCTGGTTTTCTTGACTGCTAGTGAGTACTCTATATTCCCCAAAGCTCTTGGTGTAAAAGAAAGTAGGCAGCCAGTCTCATGAAATTGAGTACCTTCTGCCTTACCTTTCTATTTCTGTTTTGCTTTGACTTGATGAGAATTGTTTCTATGTTGCAATTTTGGTGAATTCTTTTCTGAAGATGGGACATTTTATTTAAGTGAAAAATATAAAAGATGTGTAAGATGAAGTTCCTGCCATCAGCTTATAGTTCAACTGAGCAGAAAAGTTAGCCTCTTGTTTGTCAAAAACAAAGACATACGATGCATACTGTGTCATTGGCCATTAACACAGAGCAGTCCAGAGAGGAGGTCAACTAGTCACTGAAGTTATCTGAGAAATCTTTAAAAGGAGATGAACCTTGGGATAAAATCTAGGATTCCACACTCACTCATAAACTTAATATATCTTTAGACCTTTTGTACCATACCCTTGAGAGATTAGGCTTATTTCTTTTATTTGTGCTTCCAGCTAAGATTGCAGTTGGACAAGAATTCCATGGTTAAAATAATAAAAATAATTTTTGTTTTGTTTTTAATAAAAGTGAGCTGATAAGGTCATGAACTGGAGGGAGGCAGCACTTGGA